TTAGAACTCAGTCATGTGATCCATCATGGGAACCACCACTCACAACTGGAGTCCAGCCAAGTTGACACATCTTCAACTATCACATATGCGATCATGAAAGTTCCTCAAAAAGGAACTTTCAATTATGATATAACACAGCAATCCCACTCCCAGGTACATACCCAATAGAATTGAAAGTGTATGTACGTATATAGAGATATTTTGTTGTTAAGTGCCATTAAATCAATTTCAAATCATAGCATCACTATGTACAGCAGGACGAAACACTTCCTGGTCCTGCATTATCCTCAGTTTTTGCTATGCTTGAGCCCATTGCTGCAGCCACTTAATCAATCCATCTTCTTGTGGGTCTTCCTATTCTTCACTGACCCTCTGCTTTGCCAAGCATGATATCCTCTATAGGGGCTAGTCTCCTCTGACAATGTGACCAAAGTAATAGAAACAAAGTTTGTTCATTGTCACTTCTAAGGAACATTCCAGCTGTACTTTCTCCAAGACAGATTTTTTTCCTTCTTCTAACAGTTCATGGTGCATTCTGTATTCTTCACCAGTACCACAATTTCAATGCATCAATTCTTCTGTGGTCTTCTTAATTCATTGTTCAGCTCTTACATGCATATGAGGCAAATGAAAATATCACTGTTTGGGTCAGGCTCACTTTAGCCTTCTAAGTGACATCTTTGCTCTTTAACACTTTAAAGAGGTCCTTTGTAGTAAATTTTCCCAGGGTTATATCCCATTTGATTTCTTTACTGCTACTTCCATGGGCAATCCAAGTAAAACTAAATCCTCAAAAACTTCATTTTTTTCTCCACTTGTCATTATGTTGTTTATTGGTCCAGTTGTGAGGATTTTTGTTTTCTTTATATTGAGGTGTAATCCATACTGAAGACTAGTCTTTGATGTTGTTGTTTTTGTGTGCCAACGAGTTGACCCGGACTCATAGTGACTGCTCTTTGGGTTTCTGAGGCAGTATCACTACGGAAGTAGATTGCCCAACCTTCCTTCCGAGGAGTGGCTGGTGGGTTTGAA